TGGTGGCGCAGTGGTTGGGAGTCTGCCTGCCGATGCAGTGGACACGGATTAATGCCCCGGTCTGGGAAGATCCCACATGCCGCGGAGCGGCTGGGCCCGTGAGCTATGGCTGCTGAGCCTGCGCCTCCGGATCCTGTGCTCCGCAATGTGAGAGGCCGCAACAGTGAGAGGCCCGCGTACCACAAACAAACAAACAAACAAACACAAACTACAATGAGATATCATCTCACACCAGTCAGAATGGCCATCATCAAAAAATCTAGAAACAATAAATGCTGGAGAGGGTGTGGAGAAAAGGGAACACTCTTGCACTGCTGGTGGGAATGTGAATTGGTACAGCCACTATGGAGAACAGTATGGAGGTTCCTTAGAAATCTACAAATAGAACTACCATATGACCCAGCAATCCCACTATTGGGCATATACCCTGAGAAAATCATAATTCAAAACGAGTCATGTACCAAAATGTTCATTGCAGCTCTATTTACAATAGCCTGGAGATGGAAACAACCTACATGTCCATCATCGGATGAATGGACAAAGAAGATGTGGCACGTATATACAATGGAATTAGTCAGCCATAAAAAGAAAGGAAATTGAGCTGTTTGTAATGAGGTGGATAGACCTAGAGTCTGTCATACAGAGTGAAATAAGTCAGAAAGAGAAAGACAAATACCGTATGCTACCACATATATATGGATTTTAAGGGGAAAAAAATGTCTTGAAGAACCTAGGGGTAAGACAGGAATAAAGACACAGACCTACTAGAGAATGGATTTGAGGATATGGGGAGGGGGAAGGGTAAGCTGTGACAAAGCGCGAGAGAGGCATGGACATATATACACTACCAAACGTAAGGTAGATAGCTAGTGGGAAGCAGCCGCATAGCACAGGGAGATCAGCTCAGTGCTTTGTGACTGCCTGGAGGGGTGGGATAGGGAGGGTGGGAGGGAGGAAGATGCAAGAGGGAAGAGATATGGGAACATATTTGTATGTATAACTGATTCACTTTGTTATAAAGCAGAAACTAACACACCATTGTAAAGCAATTATACTCCAATAAAGATGTAAGAAAAAAAAAAGAAAATGAAAAAAACCTAGCAGAAAACGGAATATAAAATTCATCATATTTTTATCAATTTCCTGACTCATTCTTGGTATGAGTTTCCTTTATTGCTAAATAAAAAGTTTAAAGAAATTATCTATTCAGTCATTTCCAATCCACAAAAATCTATTTCTTCCAGAAAAAAAATGAATGGTAAGCCCTCTTCTCTAGTCAAATTTAATTTGAACATGCCATTTGACCTTGGCAAAAATTTTAGAATGACAGATAAGCAGAAATTTAGGGGGAAAGGTCATGTGATTATAATTTATTAATCTAGATATTTTATTAATTGAAGTATAGTTGATTAACAATGTCATGTTAATTTCTGGTGTACAGTAAAAGCGATTCTTTCCTATTATAGTTTATCACAGGATATTGAATATAGTTCCCTGTGCTATATAGTAGGACCTTGTTGTTTACCTACTGTATATATAGTAGCTTGTATCTGCTAATTCCAAACTCCTAATTTATCCCTCCCTCATATAGATATTTTGTTTCTTCTTCCTAGCTTAGTCTGATGCTTGGTCATTTCAATAGCTCTTAATTTGTAATCTACCTCTGATTCTGTGAAGTTTTAAAGACAGACTAATAACACACATTTGTCATACCTTGGATTTGGTATTTCTCCAAGAATTTCATCTAATTTGTCAATGAAATTAATAAAATTAGACAATCCTTTTATATGTGTCCTTAAAGGATCAGATGGTGATGGTGCATATCCTTTCCCTCCAAGCTCTATTGTTCTAATAAATGATGTAGCCACCTATGAATTAAAACAAATAATTTGGTTATGTTTAATGATTTAGTAAGTTAAAACTACACCTTATTTTATGAAGCTAGGCACATTTACATATTTCTAGGTACACAGGTAAAGAGAAGCACTTTTTATAACTCATACCACATTTTCATTCGGAAGCAAATAATCAAAGAAACAACTGTTATGTAGAATTCATGCCAGCAAGGGTGATGGCAACACAGGTGGAGACTGAGACTGAGGAGCCAAGTTAGAGACAAATTAAGGGCGTAAGAATATGTTCGTAAGAGTATATCATTGTTGGGAATTCCCTGGTGGTCCAGTGGTCAGGACTCTGCACTTCCACTGCAGGGGGCTCCAGTTCGATCCCTGGTCGGGGTACTACGATCCCGCAAGCCGCACAGCATGGCCATAAAAAAAGAGTATATCACTGTCTATAAAGAATTAAACAGTGGTATTCTATAAAAAATATATTCTTAAATAGACTGACTACTGGCTACTGGAATTGTTATATGGAACAAAGGGATTTTTCTGTGTCAATTGTGTTGATTTATTCAAAGTTGAACAATTAATTCAACTCTTCCAAGCCTTAGCTTCTTTATTTGTAAAATAAAGATTTAGACTAGATGATCACTAAGCCCCATCTAGCTTGCACATTTTAGGATCATTTGATCATGTGTAGTTCAAAAGGTCTTGCCTTTACAATGATAAAAATACGTATATATAATATGATGGCTATACATTAGGCCATCTCCATCAAAGACAAAATGTTCTAAAGCTGTATTTTCCAAAGCATATCCTAAGAAAGGAAAAATCTATGAAATTTAAATAATCTGGGGAAAGTTCCATGGTTAAATAACTTAGGAAATGACAGGTTAAATAACAAGGTTAACTTAAGCAGGTTTCTTTATGGTAGGACTTCTTGAAAGAAGTATACATGCATTACATATATCCAGTAAGAGTATACACGATTTCCAACTTTTTGCCCTTGGAAACATTTATTCAAAGAGCATTGAACAGGCACTTTTGCCTCTGGAAATAATTTATTCAAGGAGAATCTAACAGGGTTAGCACTCCGCAGAACACATGTAGGGAAACACAGCTTTAGAGAAATTCTCCCTTATGAACTATATATATAGTAAAATATACAGTAAAAAACAAAACTACCACGGATTTTCAAATACATGACATAGAACACATATTCACAATTTAAAAGTTGCTCTGTCATAGTTAAAAGAATTCTATATTAAGGTACACAGATCCACTGTTCAGAGAGTCTTTAAAATAAATATTGAAAAGGTAACATGTCCATACCAAAAAGATAGACATCTGTTTCTCTCGAGCAGCATGTTTCAAATCAGTGAAGGCTTCTCTTCCAAGTCCTCTATCAGGAATATTGAGAATATGAGCCAGAGCCAAGTCGTTCTTTGAATTCACCAGCAGGTTTAAATATGAGTAGATAATTTTCTTTGCTAGTAACTGTACCTGTACAATAAAATATTTTCTTTATTGAAGATTTCTAAATTCATAAATAATCTTTTTATTTATTTATTTTTTATTGAAGTATAAGTGATTTACAATGCTGTGCCAATCTCTGCTGTGCAGCAAAGTGACTCAGTTATACACACATAAACATTCTTTCATATTCTTTTCCATTATGGTTTATCACAGGATATTGAATATAGTTCCCCATGCTATACAGTAGGACCTTGTTGTTTATCGATTCTAAATGTAATAGTTTGCATCTACCAACCCCAAACTCCCAGTCCATCCCTCTCCCCCCAGCACCCTTGGCAACCACAAGTCTGTTCTCTATGAGTCGGTTTGTGTTTTGTAGATAAACTTATTTGTGCCATATTTTAGATTTCACATATAAGTGATATAATATGGTATTTGTCTTTCTCTTTCTGACTTACTTCACTTAGTATGATAATCTCTAGTTGCATCCATGTTGCTGCAAATGGCATTATTTCATTATTTTTTATGGTTGAGTAGTATTCCATCATATACATATACCACATCTTTATCCATTCACCTGTCAATGGACATTTAGGTTGTTTCCATATTTTGGCTATTGTGAACAGTGCTGCTATGAATATAGGGGCGCATGTATCTTTCTGAACTATAGTTTTGTCCAGGTATATTCCCAGGAGTGGGATTGCTGGATCATATGGTAAACTCTATTTTCAGCTTTCTGAGGAGCCTCCATACTGTTTTCCATAGGGGCTGTACCAACTTACATTCCCACCAACAGTGTTGTAGGGTTCCCTTTTCTCCACACCCTCTCCAGCATTTGTTATTTGTAGACTTTTTAATGATGCCCATTCTGACCAGTGTGAGGTGGTACCTCATTGGAGTTGTTGTTTTTTTTTAACATCTTTATTGGAGTATAATTGCTTTACAATGGTGTGTTAGTTTCTGCTTTATAACAAAGTGAATCAGCTATACATATATCCCCATATCTCTTCTCTCTTGCATCTCCCTCCCTCCCACCCTCCTTATCCCACCCCTCTAGGTGGTCACAAAGCACAGACCTGATCTCCCTGTGCTATGCAGCTGCTTCCCACTAGCTATTGATTTTACATTTGGTAGTATATATAAGTCCATGCCACTCTCTCACTTTGTCCCAGCTTACCCCTCCCCCTCCCCGTGTCCTCAAGTCCATTCTCTAGTAGGTCTGCGTCTTTATTCCTGTCCTGCCCCTAGGTTCTTCAGAACGTTTTTTTTTTTTAGATTCCATATATATGTGTTAGCATATGGTATTTGTTTTTCTCTTTCTGACTTACTTCACTCTGTATGACAGACTCTAGGTCCATCCACCTCACTACAAATAGTTCAATTTCGTTTCTTTTTATGGCTGAGTAATATTCCATTGTATATATGTGCCACATCTTCTTTATCCATTCATCTGTCGATGGACACTTAGGTTGCTTCCATGTCCTGGCTGTTGTAAATAGAGCTGCAATGAACATTGTGGTACACGACTGTTTTTGAATTATGGTTTTCTCAGGGTATATGCCCAGTAGTGGGATTGCTGGGTCATATGGTAGTTCTGTTTTTAGTTTTTTAAGGAACCTCCATACTGTTCTCCATAGTGGCTGTATCAATTTACATTCCCACCAACAGTGCCAGAGGGTTCCCTTTTCCCCACACCCTCTCCAGCATTTATTGTTTGTAGATTTTTTGATGATGGCCATTCTGTCTGGTATGAGTTGATACCTCATTGTAGTTTTGATTTGCGTTTCTCTAATAATTTAGTGATGTTGGGTATCTTTTCAAGTAACTACTGGCCATCTGTAGATCTTCTTTGGAGAAATGTCTAGTAAGCTCTTCTGCCCATTTTTCGATTGGGTTGTTTATTTTTTTGTTGTTGAGTTGTATGAGCTGTTTATATATTTTGGAGATGAAGCCCTTGCCTGTCGTATCATTTGCAAATATTTTCTCCCATTCCAACAATCTTTTTTTAATACGCAGCAAAAATACTTATGATCATTCAATGACAGTATCTCACTCAGCTCTTTGGGAAAAGAGAATTGCCATATAAACCAAAAGTTTGGGTTGAACAATGAACATATCCTGGCTCATGAAACAACTTGCCACCAATGAGAATCTATAAGTAAATAACAACTATCATAATTGTTGGAAAATGTCTCTTAGAAAATGATATAAAAGATACAGCTGCATTTCTGATGAGACCTGATCTCATTTTCCTACATACATTTGCCACTAAATAATCACTAACAATGAAGCTCCCTGAAGCGTAGGGAATGGGCCAACTGCCACTATTTGGTCCCATACCCATGTCTCTTTACAGGGCAAGATATAAGGGCTGAAGTTAAATTGTTAAATTTCTGAAGAATTACTACATACTGACTTTCACAATACCAAATAACCAACTAAGAATTAAAATAAAGAGATTCAACCAAATGTTAGCAAATAATAGCAAGTAGTTGATGTTGACATTAACTGGCCTAAAACAGAGCTATAGACTGTTCAAACACAAGATAAGTAACATTTGTGAGAACTTGATAGGGGCAACAGTTCTTTCATATATACGGCACTAGTCCTTCACAGCCAAGTGATAAACCAGGGTATTCAATGATCTTTTTCTTAAAATTAGCTAACTATAGCTTTTCAAAGCCTTGCAACTTCTAGTATTACAGAAGTGATACTGTGAACTCCCACAGGTAACAACTACAAAATATTAGGTAAAATTTTTAAAACATAACTATGTAAAGACACTGGAAAGCATCCAAAAAGCAGACACAAGCTGGAGGAGAATGTTTAATGTTAGAAGAACTGCAACAAGAAGGGTAAGAATTGCAAGTTTGTGCTTATTCAAGTCCCTACAACTTCCAGTAAAGGAGGGGATGCAACTTATCATGTGAACCCCTTAAATAACAAACATTAAATATTAAATAAAAAATTTTAAATAGTATTTAAAGACACTGGTAAGTGTCCAAAAAAATAGAGGCTGGAGGAACATTTAGTTTTAAAAGAACTGCAATAAGAAGGGTATGAATTAAGTTTGTGGTTTACTGGCCCAAGTTTCATGACTATAGAAGTGACTAAAGGTGCCAGAGATTAGAATTCAGAGCTGGGAAAACAGCTAGAAATTTAAAGGAGGAATTCCTGGAAACAATTGAGAGCATAAATATCCAAAACCCCTAGCTGACAGCAAAACTATGCAAGCATGGGGAAGATTCCAGGGGGTCCATCAAAAACACAGACAGAAAACAGAAAGAAATATATTAGAAAGATTGAGCTATAAAGAACCAGAGCTATGCGTCTGAAGGTTTGCTAAACTGAGTGCACTCTACAACTGTGTATAGCTTAAGTGGCAGAAAACTGAAGCTGAACAGGCTTGAAATGTTAAGTATACAAAGCCAAAACCTGTCAGAACAACTGGAAAATTCATGAAAATCCCTAGGAAAAAGGAATCCACAGAAATAAGCTCCATATCTCCCCCAAATGCTTGGCTGACTGCCAAATTTGGCAGGCAGAGGGAAGGCTTACAAAAGCCAAGCTAAAAAAATCAGCAAAGGGAAACTATAAGAACAGATATCCAATGCATACCACCAAGGAAACAAACTATGAAGTTGGAATCTAGGCAAGTTACCTGCCTACTAGAAATAAAAACCAATGTTCCTCAGAAAAACATGAGAAAAAACTGGAGTTGCTATAAAATATTACCTGAAATGTCTGGGTTTCATCCAAAAATTACTAGACAGCCAAAGAAAAGGGACTGTGACCCCTTCTTAGGATAAAAAGCAGTCAATAGAAAATGTCACCAAGTGGACCTACATGTTAGATTTATCAGACAGAATATCAAAGCATCTGCTCTAAATATAGTCGAAGAACTAAACTAAAATGTGTTCAATGAATTAAAGGAAACTATGTTATCAGTGACTTAATAGAGGAATGAGAACTGAAAAGTGGACACTATAAAGAGAAAATTCTAGAGATAAAAAGTACAATAACTGAAACAAAATTTGCTTGGTGTGCTCAACAGCAACTTGAAGAAAGTGAAAGAAACTATCAGTGCACATATAGATATATAAATAGAAATTACCAAATCTGAAAAACAAAAGAGAAAAAAAAAGAAGGAACCAAAGAGATCTGCAGGTCAAATTAAACAAGTCCGACATACATGTAATTGAAATCCCTGCAGAGGAGTGAAAAAAACAGAAAAAATATTTGCTGAAATTATGGCAAAAAGCATCCCAAATTTGGTGGAAAACATCAATTTATACATCCAAGAAGTTACTCAAGTAGGAAAACACAAAGAAAATCACTCCTTTACACTTAAACTCTGACATCCAAAGATAAAAAATCTTAAGAGCAGCCAGAGCAAAATGACACATTACATACACAGGAACAATAGTAAGGTTAATAGAACATCAAAAATTAAGTATGTAAGCTAGAAGACAATGAAACAACATATTACATGTGCTGAAAAAATGATCTTAAAAATTACTTTACAATTACAATAGTCAAGATAGCACAGTATTGATTTCCTTCCCATGGCAGAAACTTGGAACCCAGGTGATATTCAGTCTTAACTTTCTTATTTCCTTTGAGGCACTAGGGGTGCTTCCCTCTTATTTTCTAATATTGGGTTGGCCAGAAAGTTTGTTCATGTTTTTCTGTACCATCTTATGGACAAACTCGAACGAACTTTTTGGCCAACCCAATAGATACATTAAACAACAGAAAAACATGTTTTTATGAACAAAGACTTCTCACAGGAGTATCCATTTTCTTGAAAACAGCACACAAATCTTGCTGTAAACTGCCAATGTTACAATTTAATTCTACCTTTCTTCTGTGAAAGAAGGAAAAAATATTGCTTATATAATGAGTGTCAGGAAGTTTTCAGGCCCATAAAGAGAAACTTAACCTGTCTCCTTATAAACAGTAATATATAGCATTCTAATATAAAAATATTACAGTTTAGTCATTCCCCTAATGAGGGTCATTTAGAT